GTGTCCAAAAATCATGATTAATTCATATATTTTTGGTTAATTTGCTAAGGATTGAATTTTGAATAATGTTATTCTTATTTACCCTAAATCAATGAAAATTATCAAAATCTCGTTTTTCTTGTTCATGTATACGAAATGATGCTATTGTTAGGATATGTAATGTGTTATTCATCCTAAAACAAGAAAATAAGGTGGGAATGATCATTGTACCACTATTCTTGATTATTGTACCTCTGTTTGTATTTATATAGTACCACTTTGATACTGTTTTGTACCATACTTGCTGGGAAATTTTATTTTTTTATTTATCCCATTATTATTAGATACATAGAAGGGGCACAAAGTAATGTACTAGAGAGTTGTATGTACAAGAATGAATTATTTGTGTTCCTTATGCACATTGGATCAACGCTTGACGAAATGTACACTCTTATATCTAAGAGGTGGCCGAACGTTAATTTCGAATCCGTCGTGCTATGTTATATTGCGCCAAAAAAAAAAGAGAGAGAGTTAGTTTGTCGGATGATGAGGATGTGAAAAACATGATTCTGTTACATGTTTGTTTGAAAGTAAATATTGTAGAGATACTTGTCATTCAAAGAAATAAAAGACCGGATGATGGAGTTCAATCCTTTCCGTTGAACATGAGCAGGTAATGTTGCTTTCATAATATTAATGAATTTATTATTGAAATATCGTAGTCTTATCATATCCTAGTTCGTTTATTTTTTAACTAGTTCCATTATTTATAAATCTTTATATTATTTTGTCATGAATGCAGGAAAATCGTACCGTATGATTATTTCTCGGAGGGAGAAACATGAGTTGCTTTTGCACGATAAATTGATCGATTCTTGGAGATTTTGCAACAAATGAGAGGGGTAGATATTCAGTGGGGCCGACAAATTTCGAAAGAGTGTTAAAAACTACGCGATTGCAAATAGGCAGTCTTTTAAGTATCGAAAAAATGATAAACAGAAGGTCATTGTTTGTTCTAGCGATGTGGACATGTGTGTGTACTCATTTTCATTCCAAAGAGTGGGTAGTAAATGAGACTTTATGAGTAACATTTTTGTATACAATATACTGGTATTTCTTACTGCAA